AAATAAATAAATTATATTAAATAAGCGTGGCCCACTGAGCAAAGTATTGGGCTGTGACTAATCAGGTATTGCCTAGTGACTAGACTTTGAATAGTTGTTTCTGTGCGTACATTGTCCCATGCATTGTGAAATGGCATGATATGCCTACCTCTTAATCTAGATGAAAATCTTTTGTAAGTTCTGATAGTGTAGAAGTGGCTGATAAAGTTAGTGGTATTTCTCAGAGCTCCCAACAGAATACTATACACACACACACACACACACACACACACACATACATACATATACATATATCATATATATCTCATATATACCCAACAGAAAATAATATATATATAAAACAAATAATACATATTTACAATTATAGGTCCTACAACTCTAGAAGGGCCCTTAATTTGCCCTTTATCATATGGAATTTTCTGTATAGCTGTAAAAAAGATCTATCCACAAGGAATGGTGGAAAAAAGGGAATGAACATTTTTTAAAATCAGTTACCAAACATATGCTTGGCAGATTTAATCTTCGATAGGGCTGGAGATGTTGTTCATTGGTAGAGCACTTGTCTAGCATATGTGAGGTCCTGGGTTCCATCACTCCAAAAAATAAATTTAATCCTTACATTAGTCCTAAAAGTAGCTATTATAACTTTGCCGTGTGTGGGGGGGGGCGAGGGGCAGGGATAGTACTGGCACTTGAACTCAGGTCCACGATGCTGTCCCTTAGCTTTATCATTCAAAGCTGGTGCTTTACCACTTGACCACACCTTGACTTCTGGCATTTTAGTGGTTGATTGGAGAGAAGGTCTCATGGACTTTCTTGCCCTGGCTGGCTTCAGATCTCAGACTCCTGAGTAGCTAGGATTGTAAGCCTGAGCTACTGATACCCAACTATAACCTTTTATAGATGAAGAAAATGAATCTTGAAGAAGTTAAGTTTTGTGTGTGAAGTCGCATAGCTAATAAAAAGCAAGGATATAAATCTTGGTCAATCTGACTTTAAACCTTTTAAACCCTTCTTTGTGCTATGTCATGTTGCTACACAGAATTGGCATTTTGTTTTTCCAGTTGTGGGGCTTGAACTCAGAGCCTGGGCACTTTCCCTGAGCTCTTTTGCTCAAGGCTAGCACTCTACCACTTTAAGCCACAGCACCACTTCTGGTTTTCTGGTGGTTAATAGGAGATAAGTGTCTCATGGACTTTCTTGCCCAGGCTGGCCTTGAACCACAATCCTTAGATCTTAGCCTCCTGAGTAACTAGGATTATAGTAAGCCACTGTGCCTAGCTTCAGTGTGATTTTTTTTTTTAAGAGAACATAATTGGCCAGGCACTGGTGGCTCCCACCTGTATCCTAACTACTTAGGAGGCTAAGATCTGAGGATTGCAGTTTAAAGCCAGCCTAGGCAGGAAAGTCCATGAGACTCTTATGTCCAATAAACCTGATATGGTGCTGTGACACAAGTGATAGAGTGCTAGTCTTGAGTTGAAGAGCTAAAGGACAGTACCCAGGCCCAGAGTTTAAGCCCCATGACTGACAAAACTAAAAAGGAAAAAGAAAAGAAAAAGAACATAATCCTGCAGAGACTAAAGAATATAGGTAAGTTATAAGAAAAACTTGTCCAGTTGGTTTAGGAGGTAGTAACAGAAGCTGGATTATCAGATTGATTCTTGGTCAAACCCTAGACACAAGTATAGTAGCAGAAGCAGGGCTACTGGAGTTACACTGCTAATAGACGATGCTGGTGTATGAATCCCTTGATAAGACGCTTCTTTTGTTTTGCTCCTATTTATTAGTACCTGTGGCAGCTGACCTATTATCTTGTCTCTCTAGGGCAAAGCCCACAGCTTGAAGCCAAAGGAAAAGCTGGCAGGCAGCCCAGTTCGCTCTTCTGAAGATGTAAGCCAGCGAGTCTATCTCTATGAAGGACTCCTAGGTGAGAAACAGAGACTAGAGGTAACCCTTGCACTGGAGTTAGGGGGTAGGGAGCTGGGCTTGGCCAGGGGAGAGGGTAGTATTGCTTGGCTTTTTGCTTATCTCAATGCTCAAGTGAGATCGCATTTTTATGTATGAATCAAGGGATCTGTGGTATCTAGAATAAGCACGGGTGAAAACTGGATGAGATTGGATTTTGGCATTGATCAATAGCCTCTGTCTTTCTGTCTTCTTTTCCTTTCTTGCTACCATGGACCTTCCTACTCACAAATTGTCAGGAAGGGATAAAGGATCGATGTGGGACCAATTAGAGGATGCTGCTATGGAGACCTTTTCTATAAGTAACCACCTTTCTTTTGTGTGTTGTGCTCATCTCTCCTGCTTAGGAGAGGTTGGACCTTACTTAGCTTCTGGGGCTAGTGGCAAGAATGTTAGATCTGGGGTAGAGATGTGTGTTTCATTTCCATTTCTGGAATTTGGAATAATCCAAGTGGAGTAAAACTCCATTTTATTTGGAGTTTACTCTTTATTTTCATTTGGCAGTTATATTTTCTAAATGTTAAATAAGCCTCCCTTCTCCACAAAAACAGAAACAACAAACAAAATTTTCTTTTACACAGGCAAAGAACGTTCTACTTTATGGGACCAAATGCAGTTCTGGGAGGATGCATTCTTAGATGCTGTGATGTTGGAGAGAGAAGGAATGGGTATGGACCAGGGTCCCCAGGAAATGATCGACAGGTATGGACTTAGGAAAGCTGTGGTAGTATGCTAACCCAGCCTCCTCACAGGTAGCTGATTTGTGCTTGGTCTGCGTAGATACTTATCCCTGGGAGAACATGACCGGAAGCGGCTAGAAGATGATGAAGATCGTTTACTAGCCACACTTTTGCACAACCTCATCTCCTTCATGCTGTTGATGAAGGTAATGTCAGTTTTGCTTATGTTTTATTGTACCAGTGATGGAAGAGAAAGACCTGTTTTTACTGCCTTTGTTGTAAAGGTAGTTGATCACTGTATACTACTTGTTTATTTTCAATTTTATGGATTCCCTTTGATCAATATTTTTATGATGCCAGTAAAGCTCACAACAGGACATATATATATAAGTATATACATACACATATATGTATATGTATATTACAATTGTTGGTCCTAAAGCCTTAGAAAGGCTACTCCAAATTTACTTTTTAGCACTAGCCCTAGAATTTCTGTATAGCTGTTAAAAAGTTACCCATCAACAAATTAATGTGAATTATTTGATTTAGTTGTGCTTGATTTTTACAGCTGTGGAAGAAGTATATTAGTAAATAGAAGAGAAAGCAGAACGCTCTGATCACAAACCATGGGCTTGGGGTAGAAGAGAGTTGTTTTGTGATGAGCCCCTGAGTGTCTTCTCTTCCCCTTCTCCCCAACTTCTCTAAATGTGAAAGGGTCAAATACAGAGAATGCCCTGTATACCTTCTTGGTTTGCTTCCTTTTCTGTTGTAAGGTTCCCTGCACTTTGTTGAATTCCTGGTTGGAGAAGACCGATGATCCTTAACCTTGTAGTATGTCTTGGCTACAGCTGAATCTCAAGGTCACCACTGAGTCATTAGTGGTGATGAACCCTTTGGGCTAACATTGTGACATTGAGTGGGGAGGCCCAGCTGCTATACGAGTCCGTCCCTTTTCTGCAGAGTCTCACTAGAAACAGAGCTTTTCTTCCTATCATGTGACACAATCCATGGTTTGAAAGGGTTCCTCCGTGTTCAGTGATAAGGAATTCTTTTAAGTCCCCTTCTCTAAGATAGGAGGAAGCTTACTTGTATATTTTCTTGTCTTTGCTCTAGTTGAGAGGTGGGCAGGTTCCTTATTAAAGATTCTTGCCTTGCCTTTCCAGGTAAATAAGAATGACATCCGAAAGAAGGTACGGCGTCTAATGGGAAAGTCCCATATTGGGCTTGTGTACAGTCAGCAAATCAATGAAGTGCTTGACCAGCTGGCAAACCTGGTGAGCATATGAGCCATCACCTTCCTAGCTAGACCTCTGTCCTGCAGAAGCTTCTCCATGGGGCATTTCTGACCGTGTTACTATGCAGTCACATTAATCCCTATGTTTGAGGATGGGTCAATAATCTAGATGATGCTCTAGCTCTTCTGTTCTGTGCTGGAACTTTCTTTTTTTTTTTTTTTTGTCGGTCG